GGACAGACCTTCGCTGGGTTAAGCATCTTTAGATGTGGTGACATTGATGATTTCTGAAGCCCATTCGAAATCGGAAGACTCGGTGAACGGAGTCGGCACAGCTCCTTGTAGTAGGGTATTGGACAAGTAAATATCTGGTTTTGTAATAGGTCCGATGTCAATTGCATCCGTAGTGACCAAAAACTTGAAGCAGACATCTACATCTTGGCCATTTAGGACAGTGAATTTTAGTGGGTTTAAGCCATCGTGACGTTTTCCATAACCGAGAGTAATATTTGAGTTTTTTTTTAGGAATGCATTGACAGTGCCTTCCTTCTGGGCCTGTTGTGAAGAGGACCAAGCATCTGAGTGACACGAAAAGAAATCAGCATCTAGGAAGAACCATGCAATACAACATACCAATTGCTAATGTTGAAGTATCGAAGGACAAGTTGGAAAATCCAGCCATAACACGTAAATAAAATAAGACCGTAAAGCAAGGTATTGATGTCGTCAATGGAAGTGGCACGACGGGGTAGGTAGGTGGGACAGGCAGGCCTAGGAGTGCCACGCCGTTTCGTACACGCGTCGAATTCACGTGATCCCTGGCAATCTTCGCTTCGTACGTCCATCATCGCTGCTCGACTAGAGAGCCGTCTCCTTCGTTGTCCCGCCGCACACGCTGAGCAGGTGGTTCTCTCTTTCGCCCCCCACCCACATCCTAGAAAGTAAACGGCAGAACCAGTGAATCCGAACACAAGCAGGTAGACAACCAGTCAAAACGAAAGCTAGGAGTTTCGAACCCTCACGAGTCAGCGACAAGTTATTTGAATCATCGCAATAATAGGTTTTAGCTCAACCGGCCCTATCCCAATAGTAACAATCTTTTAGAAGAGATACATAAAAGATCTCTAGCCGAGACGAGAACTTTGGGGTCTCTCAGATTCCTCATCTCATCCCGGGATCTTACCCTTTGGGGTCTTCTCCCTCACCCATCTTACGGCTAGACGTCTCACTCTGTGCATTAGCCTGCGCTCGAATACATGTCCTTACGCCGCCTCTTTGTGGGATCTAAGTTTCTCCGACGCTACACTTCGAAACCGACGACCGCTAGTGGGAATTAGGTAAGATTGAGGATGCTGGGGTGATGCGGCCCGGTATGATTCCATCCGATGTTGACCACAACCCTCTTCCTCTCTCAGGCTTCTCACCATCTACAGCCATCCAGTCATCCACCCTTTCTCGTCATCCGTCACCGTGAATCGTAAAGGACAGCCTGTTCTAGGGCTCTTTCTGAAGACATCACCGACACGCTAATCCACGCTGATATCTGAACTGTATACCTAAGCTTGTGCGTGTTCTTGAATCTAACAACGCAAAGACATCATTTTCTTTACCAGTAAGACAGAGCTGCCGCTACAATTGCACCAGTGGAACTTCACTGTAATTGGGGACCATAACATTGAACGGAATGAATGGACGAGGTATGTGCAACGCGTTCTCGTTTGCAACATTAGCGCTAAATGGAACTCATTCTTCACTGGGAAGACATTCGTACCAGCTGTTGAACTCTATGATAATATTACAAGTCTACGATTACACTAAGCGAGCTTTCATTAAAGGACGCCCACGCCCCTCCAATAATTAACGTATTCTTCGACTTCCTTCCGTCCCACGATACCGGACTCTCTCATTCCCCTTGAATCCTTCTTCGCCTCCTCCGTTCCCAGCACTACACCGCCACTCGCCATCCGTTCAAAGTCCCGTTCCAAAAACCCAATCAGCTTATTCACCTGCTCGTTCCCTCTCACTCTTTCCAGCCACTCTGCATAATCCAGCACCGGTATCCCAAGTATATCTGACAGATTATCGATAACCGCCGTCCACTCCTGACGAGCAGGGTTCTCCATGTGGTATATCGGCTTGAAGCGATCGGAAAACAACAGTTCGACGACGATCTGACCGGCGCGGTTGACGGGTAGCCAGGAGAGCGTTCCCTCTAGCCTGGGAAGGGCCCCGACGGCCTTGCTTGCACCCACCACGACTGGGAAATGCTCGCTCTCATTCCAAGCCCCGGCTCCCTCAGCCCCAGTCATCTGCCCAATCCTCACTGAGCTACCTCGGACCTTCCCCTCAAGCGAGAGCAGTAGCTCCTCGCACACCCACTTGGCTTCGGGGTACCCAAACTCAGCAGTCGACTCCGGTGGGACTCGTTGCTCTGGTACCGGTTGGGAGGGATACTGACCGACGACAGCAATCGACGACGCGAATAGAACACGGACGTCCTTCGCTGACGATCTCCGGCCTATCTTCACAAGGTTAACCAGTCCCCGAATATGTCCTTCGAAACTGTCCAAGCCCCGAGAAAAGTTGACCGGCCACGCATTGTGGATGATGTGCGTCACGTCGTCTACACCTTCCAACTGGTCATCGACGTCGCCAAGATCCGGAATTTCGAGCATGTGGATCTTGTACCAGTCGATGGTGCCAGCGCCTCGTCTTTTCATCTCCGCCTCCTGCCTTTCTCGCCCTCCACGCCGGTTAATGCACACCACACGTTTCACCTCCGAATCCTTGGCCAGTCGCGCTAGGAGGAAACACCCCAAGCTCCCCGTTGATCCAGTGAGAAGAACCACCTTGGTTCCAAGCAGCTCGATGCGGTACTTCTCCAGCACCTGCCGCATCTTTTCCTCCCTCCGCACTCCTTCAGAAACATACCTGCCCGCCCTCACTTCCTCTATTGCCGATACAAGCCTCCTTGCCGTCGAGTTCCGATACACAAAGTCAGTCTCGAGGTTGTCGACTTTCAACGATCGTCCAATCCTCCTTCGTATCCTCGCAGCCTGTAGGGAGTCCATTCCACACTCGAAAAAGTCTTTCGTTTCAGGGATGACATATCCCAAGACCTCCTTCATAATTCGAGCGACCCACACACCCGCATCGGCATCCATAATCGGCTCCTCCTCCTGCTCAGCATCTTCGTAGCTCTTCACAATCTCCTTCTCCCACTTTTCCCAGCTCGCCTTCCTCGCGATACTCCCTTTATCCGTCCTCACTAGCTCGCCAGGTTTAATGAAAACCACCATCTCCCTCGAAACTTTGGCGTGTTTGTCAGCAAGCTCGTTTGCTTTGTCGAGGAAAGCCGCAAAGTCCGCTGATTGTTCGCCCTCCACCTCAACGAGGATACCGCATCCTTCCCTACCCTGTCCGAACACCAAGACACCCCGTACTCCAGGGCACTCTCCTAGTGCTTGCTCCATACCACTTGGACGGACTTTTTCCCCGTTAGTGAGAACGACGAGGTCGTCACTTCGACCAAGGATGCGGTACTGGTTCTCCTTGAGTGGGTTTCCGACTAAGTGATCCTGCACGACGTAATCTTCCTCCCATCCTGGCGCTCGACCGCTTAGTCGATATGTGCCTTCGCCAAGAGGAGTGAATGTCAATGGGATGTCCTGTCGTGGGATGAGGTAGTGCCAGTCATAGTTGGCAGGGACGTGTTGGACGACAGCGATCGCTCCGATTTCTGTCGCGCCTGTTACAAGATATCAGGTCAATGCAGAAGCATGGATCAGGCAGTCACTCACCCCAATGATTAAGCAGCTTGACTCCCCGGTGCACCAGTTCCTCACCCGTAACCTCCTTCAATGGCGCGCCTCCCACCGCGAGTATGTCCAAGGTTTTCAGCGCGTCAACGCCACCAGGTATCGTGAGGAGGTCTTCCACAACGGAAGGGACGGAAAGCATCAAGCCAACGCGATTGAGGATCGTATGTGTTGTTCCATTCGTGCTGTTCACTTTGACTCCATTTGTTTGCTCGCCTGCACATAGCGCATCCAAAACTTTCAATTGTCCTCTTCCTGTCGGTATCGTTCCAGCGCCCGGGAGTACGAAAGGCAGCCCGATGCTAATGGACATCATCGGTGCCAGCAATCCAAAGCCCTGCATCACGTCAGAAAACGCGTACCCTTCCTAGGATCGTACGTACATGGTACAGAGGCAACGTCGACACGTTCCATCCTAGCGCCTCGGCGTGTTCAGGTGTAAAAAGGTGGTCTTGGCCGTATCCGAGGACGTACCCGTGAGCGTGATAGATGGGTTTCGGAAGGCCGGTCGTTCCAGAAGAGTGGAGGATGATGGCATTTCGTTCAGTGGTGTTAGAAGATGGATGGGGCGGTAGAGCGATGCTGGAAGCCGATGGTGAAGCGAGCAATTCGGTGTATGTTGGGGCTTCGATCCATGTTGGCGCATTCGGGGCAGGTGAAGGAGTAAGTCGGGAGGTGAGAGGTGACGTGAGGACCAGTTTGGGATTGGGCTCTGTTTTTGAGAGCAGGTGGTCGATTGCGACGGGTGTTAGTCGTGCAGACAGCAGGAGGACCTGGAATAGAGATGTAGAACGGAGAGAGACGAAGAAAATGGCGACTCACAGGTACCCCGACTCTCATACCGGCTGCTACCCAGATGAACAGCCCCACGTCGCTTCCCATAAGCACCGCGATTCCTCCCTTGTCTTCGCCACCGCCCATCCCGTGCTCGACAAGCCATTTAGCGGCGACGTCTACACCGTGCGCCAGATCCGCAAAGGTAATTTTCCTCCCTAGTTCAGCTTTATCCTGTGATTGAGGATGCAATTGCAGCGCGAAAACCCTGTCGCCGTTGAACTTCGCATTGTATTCGATAGCCTGAGGGAGCGTCCGCAAGCCCTCCGTCACGCAGGGCTCGTATCCGAGATTGAATTTGGGTCGTACGAAGGACATGGGTATTTTCGTTACAACGTTCCATCTCCGTGGTACGTGGTTTTATCACTAAGAAGGTGGGTGAACAAGCTTATCCACTGACAGTTCCGGAGAGAAGGACATGCGGATAATCGGACTTTGGGCGTTTCATCGGTGAGGGGGCAGTGGACAATGCGGCGGCGGCGTTCATGGTGGGGTCGAAAAAGTAAGTATTTGATGCAATATTATCTAAGGCTAAGAATATTGAGTTCATGCTGTAATTCCTTCTAGCTGCTCTGAAGTCATGGCCGTGTGGCGTAATGGCAACGCGTCTGACTACGATCAGTTTATCAGGAGATTGCAGGTTCGACCCCTGTCTCGGTCAGTGTGCTATGGGAGGGAAGTTGTTTTTGTAGTTTGCAATCAAAGCTTCATTAATTCATTCCCGAACCATGTCTTGTATCATGAAGCTAAGTCAAGGTACGTCTTCATAGACCATAGTACGTATTCCCTGGCAAAATAAATGGTTTACTACGGAGCTCGACGATCGTACTTTTCTTCATCCTTTCCATCACGTAATGATCACTACTTTGCTCACTATCCGCTTGGCATCCCCATATTCCTCACAATTATATATATTTGCTACCTCAAGCTCAGTTGTGCAGTGACGAGAGGAACACCCGTGTCCTGAGCATTTCCTGGGAGTCCGGACCTGTTGAAGATTCACTCCAACCATCAAACAAAGACGGTTTGAAAAAGTGTAAGTAGTTCCGTCGTTCAAGGTAAGAAAATTCCTTTCTTCATCGACGTCGACTGATTGTAATAGATCAAGCCCCTCAAATCAGACCGACAGCGAGTCCTTACAAATTCGTCCACTCTGATATGGAATCCTGCATATGCTCCTGTCGCGCATTCAATATCTCCGATCCTTTCCTCCATCACAAGCGGAACGTGACACGTCAGCGACAAGGACCACATAGCGTCGACTAGCAATTTACGCCGTTTTAAATAACGACAAGAATCCGATGGGAAGGGCAGAATTGTGAGGAACGAGAGATTTTGAAATCGATAAAGTTTGAACCAGGTGAGAACAGCGAACCTTGAGGACGGGCGAACTCTCGAATCGCCTAAGAAGCTCCCTTCTAATAGGACGCCGCTATCTCAGCTCACTTTATCCAAAGTTTTTGCGTCCTCTACAGACACCATCGCTCCTACGCTAAAATTCTCAGCTGCTCTGCTTTTGGGTCCAACAACGATTTCACTGGTTACTTCCGGAGAACTGAATCACCCCGAACTCGTGGGAGACGAGATCACCAATGCAAAAATGTACTTAATAAGTCCATCGAAGCGGAGGAGTCAGGAAACCGTCAAGGTCGCCATTGCCACGGACGATCGGCACTATCGAAGGTTCGTACTGCTTCTTCTCAAACGTCGACTTCGGACTGATCAAAGAGACAGATTGATTTCATTGTCCATGCGCACTTGTCCTTTCTGGAAATATTAGTCGTTAGGACTTTGAAGGGGAAGTACAGAACTGTGGCGTCTTCTAAAAAGCATTGCTTTATTTGGAACGTGGCCATTACTGTCGGGGGAGCTGCCAGTCCCTTTTCATGATTTTAAAAATCGATGGTGATTGTCTGGGCATAAAAACTCCATGTTCACTCCCCCCTTGCGTCTGTCTATTCTCTTCGTCGAGGCTTGCTATCTTCATAAATTTCGTTCATAATTTCAGGATCAACTCGTGCTTTCCATCAACAATTCATCTCATTACTAGGGCACTGCCTTTCAAGTAGTCACATCGTCGTGATCGTCTCCTCAAACGTCGGCAGATGGACCGATGATCATGCTGGGAACATTCTGGTATATCTCATTGCGCGCTATTGCGTTTCGTCTGTAGACCATCCATCCCCTTATCCTAGCCCAGATGGTTGCGATGACCTTTCTCCTTCAAGTTCTGTTCGGTCTCTCATTTCTGCTTTCTTATTCTTTTGCGCAAGATCATATACAATGTGTGGATAGTGGATTGGATTGGTATACCAGTATCGTCGGGGAGACGCCGTGTAAAGCCACTCTTGTGTCTACTCTTTGGCATGACTGAAGTTTTTACCAGGCCGAACCTACCAACGGCTACGCCAGATATGCAATAGCAATTGTAATACTCTATCACTATTCGTCAATTGGACATATTAGCTTATACTTTTCTCTCCAGATGTCTTGGGCGCTTTGAATCCGAACACTCCTCCGGATACATGCGGCGACCAAGTTGGTAAGTCCAATTGTTGACTCTGAGGACGGTTCACTCATCTTGTTCCGGGATCATAGCCGACTGTTGTTGCAATTCAATTGCGTTCGGGCTTAGTATGCTGTGTCTGACGTGAGTAGTCGCTATTTATTTCAAAGAGGGCCGCCGGTACTCATCGTAGCATAGATGCCAGCAAGGAGTCGGACCCAATGGCAATGGTGTTGACGCCGGTACGTATGCGCGTTCCGCGTAGTATGGCCGATCCTCACCTTCATTGCTGTAAGGCATCGGCGCATATCAGACATATCTTAAGCATGGAACAGACTCGTTCTGTACCCCCAACACTAACAAATCGTGCGCAAGATTCATTTTCACGACGCAATCTACTATAGTTAAGGTCTGATTTTCGATCTCCAGATTTACGAATGACATACAAACGGCAGTATGCAACAACGGTCTGAAGATTCACAATAGCTTCTACGACGCTATATTTTGGGCAGACGGATCATGGTATGCCATATTTCTGTTGTATCAACTCCAGTTCATGGTCTAAAATTTATGCCCGCAGGTTCTAGTATGTGTGATCTGTCTTTAACATTCTTTCCTCTGTTCTGACGTTAAAATTGCAGTACGTGGTCCCGTGAACAAATGGAAAAGACTGATGCTGCTGACGGAAATAATCCCTTCACGCATTGCACATCAGTGGCCGCGATCGTGACCAGTAGTTCACAATCTTCTCAATCGATGTCGCCCTCATCATCCACATCACCTTCGCAGTCGACGTCAGACTCAAACTCACTGTCTACATCGCTTTCCCAATCGATATCAATCCCACCCCCAGATTCCACATCGCTTTCCCAGTCGATACCGATTTCCCTTTCCCAGTCAATGTCTTTTTCACGTTCCCAGCCGACCTCACTTTCCCAGTCGGCCTCGATCTCTCGGTCGAATATTACGTCGCTCACGGAATCCACAAGCGCGAGTGCTGCCACGGCTGACACCCCTGCACAAACAGAGAGTTCCTCAAAGTCTCTCAGTGCTGGCGCCGTAGCCGGGATCGTGGTGGGGAGTGTCGCATTCATATGGGCAATTACGCTGTCTCTCGTCTGGCTGGTCAAGCGCCGCCAGCGAGAAGCTGCTATCGAGAACTTGGAAACGTCCGCTCGCCCCTTCAGTACGGTGCTTTCCTCCGATCTCTATATTTCTGGGATTAACGAAAAGGGTCTACAGCTGCGTATATGCCGATTTCGGGGAATCGAGAGAGAGGGCCCAGGGAGAAAGGACAACGAGAACTACCGCCTGTTTATTCGGAGTAGACTTGGTTTGCCGGTACGTCAGAGAGATGCCAAGTTCGCAGAGCCTGGTGAGTTTAGGATGACGTGGAAGGATGAAAAGGTTGGCTCCAGAAATTCGGTATCGCTGTGATATTTGTCCCACGAGCACGTACAAATCTCATAGCTGTGGGTCTGTTTTGATGAACAAGAATCATCGTTTATACCTCTCCATAGAAGTAAGAGGACGGGATTCGAACTCGACCAAAGCGACAAACTCGGGTCGGTCCTCAGTCCCTCCCGTTCTTCTAACCATCAGCATCGCTCCTTGCCGTCTTATCGCTGTGTTTTGTCTGGGTCCGTCTTCTATGGAGTGCAGTTCTGTGCAGGATCACGGAACACCGAAACCGATTGTTATCAGTACTACTAGGCTGAGATCATCAAATCTTCCGATGTCAACTACTGGCGGTCATTGAGTGTGGCCGTTCGTCTTGGCGCTTCTTAAATAAATACTACAAAAACTGATCGATGAAATAGATTACGGGTAGTATGGCTGGTCTGGTGCTTCTCGGGATATTAGTAGTTGGCCGGGCTTTGAAGGATAGGCATGGGAGCTGTTGCCTTGTGATTTATCTGAAACTTCAAGGTGACTACCCTTGCAGAAACTGTCCCCTTCATTCGCCTTAGAATCGACGGGGAAGTGACGATTGTTTGGGTATACGTTGAATTTCACCGCCCACATTACTTTCCCAAACGACGTCAACCCCCACCCGGTCCACCGTCGACATAGCTTTCCCAGTCAATGTCAATCTCACTTTCCGAGTGAGTATCACTTTGACATTCACAGATCATGTCACTTTCCCAGTCGCTTACGGAATCCACAGGTGCGAGCGTCACCTCAGCTTCCGCCTTACCGCATTCATCATAATCTTTCACTGCGGGCGCCATTACTGAGATGGTGGTAGGAGTTATCGCATTCGTAGGGCCGGTCACAATCTTCTTCCTCTGGCTCTGCTCGTACGACCCGCACAAATTCACACCGAAGACTCGGAGATATCGCCCACACTGTTCATCGTAAGCGAGTACAGTGAATTTCCTGGATCCCTATTTTTCGGACTAACGAAATGGGTTTACAGCCTCATCCATGTCAAAGGAGGGATCATCCTCCCATTCGTCCACCGGCCAAGTATAACCTCCCGTTCAAATCGTTTCGACGGCAAACCTGAGCTCGTCATCTGGCAGTGCTGGAAATCCCGTGCTCACGAGCAATCTCGGGTCGGGAGCCTGGAGACGGCTCAGGATGAAAGAACAGAAGGAGCCGCCACCCAGGTACATAGTGGGCTGGACACAAAGCGGGATGCTGTAAACTCGTACGTGGTGGAAGAACTTGGATTAGTTTTTAATATAATTAAATTTTATTTCAGAGGTTCGTCTCGGCTGTGGACTCGTACCATTGAGTTTTGCTTTTTACACAGCTTATTTATTTAATAGAAGCAAGAGGTTACTCATCTTAGAACAGTCAACTGACGATAGTAGTCAATTGGGCTCGATAAACTCGGCCCGGCGTTCAAAAAATTCGGGTAGTACCTTTCCCACCCTCATACCATCATCATCACGCACTCCTTACCGCTTTTTGTTTTATCTTGTTCTTCATCCACCTTCTCAGCGTCAAAAGTATGACTCGAGACGAAGCTGACCCCCGTCGGAAGAATATTCTGATTCACAGAAGTGGGAACGTACAAATCGCACAGTGCTTTGTTACGTATAGTTCTGATTCTCAGTTTTGAGAGGCATTGCCTTCACTATCGACCCATTCAGGGGCCGCAGGTACGACCCATTTATGTGACTCCTTGATACGGCCGTTCTTCTTCC